AGATTAGATTTGTAGCTTTTGTTACTTATTTCTGAATAGCTTTCTGGAAGTATTGGAAAGGTAGATATACCTTTGTACAGCCAACCCTTGAACAGCATGGCAGTTGGGTTGCAGACCATCTCCACTCCTGCACAGTTGAAAGTCCCAAAAACTTAACTACTAATACCCTACTATTGATCTGAAGTCTTAATGATAACGTAAATAATCAATTAACACATATTTTATGTTATATTTACTATATACTGTATGCTTACTATAAAATAAGCTAGAGAAAAGAAAATGTTATTCAGAAAATTATAAGAAAATACATTTATAGTCTTGCACTGTAAAAAATTTGCATGTAAGAGGGCCTGCACAGTTCAAATCTATGTTGTTTTAGGGTCAGCTGTAATTTTTTTCATTCTGTTTAATAAACTTCTTAGCGGATAATTATTTTAATTCCACTTTCTTCTTTCAGCTACTTCTGCATGGTTTTAAGTCATTTCATTCAGTTAGCAATTCTTCTAGGATGTTCTATGTTTCTGCTCAGAGTTAAAAACCTCTTACTTGGTATTATTATTAGGATTGATGTAGCAGTGGAAGTGAGGAACAGATTTAGTTTTTGGATTATTTGCAAATTTCTGTTACTCTTCCCCAATCAGAATGCAAAATTATTAATGTAAATTGCTTCTAAAACTTAATCTTTTTTTCTTTTATTTAGGCTCCACCAAAGCCTATACCAAAGACCATTGACAATCAGAGAGTATATGATGAAACTGTAGTAGACCCTAATGATGAAGAGGTAATGTTACAAGTCTTAAATAAATTTGGATGGCCACATTTGCTAAATCATTTGTTCATATATTGATACTTAAAGTACTGGCTGGTGAAGTTGTATAATGGACTGATTCAGCTATAATGTTGGCATATTATTTGCTATAGATTATTTCATAATTGAATTTCTCAAATGTTCTAGAAAAACGCAGTGGGATTACTTATTTTCTAGAAATGTATGATATTTTATGCCTAGGTAAACTTTTTGTCATTTAGTATCTTGTGTAGTGCTTCTGTTGTTTTTAATATCATTTGAAAATTATTCCTCATACTATAGATTTTTGTAGTATTAGACATTTTGATTTAAGGATAACATTTGGTGGTATTTCCTGTGTCCTCATAAAACTCTTGGCTTCAAGATAATATCCACTTGTCACTTTTCACATTTTCCTTTTAAATAGTTGGCAACAGTACAGTGAGAGAATCAACAATTTTAAACTTTTTTTTTTGTATAGCAGATTTGGTTTTGGTTATATTTGCTCTCGAACAGTACTGTTAGTGACAGTCTTTAACATTTCCTGATATAGTCATTCATTCAATCAGTCTGTCAATCTTCCAGCAAATGTTTGATTGCCTGCCATGTATTGGGATCTGTTTTAGAGACTTGGAACCCACCAGTGCACCAAACACTCTGCCATATATACACACAAAATATCAGCCCACCTGGAACTTACATTCTAGGGAGAGAGACAAACAGTGAACATAATAAAATAAATTATGTGTTAGGGGGGTGAAAGAGGGGGCCTGGGTGGCTCAGTCAGTTATGCGTCCCAACTTGGCTCAGGTCATGATCTCTCAGGGTTGTGAGATCGAGCCCCAACTCAGACTCTGTGCTCAGCGGGGAGTCTGTTTGAGATTTTCTTTCTTCCTCTCCTCCTGCATGCGCCTGCTCTCTCTCCTCCTAAAATAAATCATAAAAAAAAATTGGGTAAAGTAGATTTAGGACTACCTGAAGTAGAGAGTTTGCAATTTTATATATATAGGAGTATGTGTGTATGTACGTTTTATTTAGTTTGACATAATTTCAGACTTAATAGAAAAGTGGGAATTCATATATGCCCTTCACCTAGGTTTCCTAAATACTAAATTGTACCACACATGCTTTTCTTTTGTATTCTGTCTGCAATGCTTGAGAGTAAATGGCAGCCATGAAGCCTGTTTACTCCTATATAATTTAGTGGATTTTACTTATAAACAAGTGTGTTTTTCTTAAACACAGGGTATAGTTATCAAAATCACAGAATTAACATTGATTATTATCTAGTCTAGACATCTTATTCAGATGTCTACAGTTGTCCAAATGGCGTCATTTTTAGCAAAAGAAAAATCCAGCTTATGCATTTTATTCCATTATATAACCTCCCTTAATTTGGAACGTTCCTCGGACTTTCTTTGCTTTTAATGTCCAGGTATTTTGTGGAATGTCACTTAATATGAGTTTCATGATGGCTCATGATTATGTTCAGTTTATGTACTTTTTAATCAGTTGTTTGTTCATGTCTATTGCCCATTCTGTTGGTTAGGGTTGCAGTTCTATATAATGATGGTCAGAGTAGGCTTCATTGAGAAGATGACCTTTTAGCAAAGATTTAAAGGATGTAAAGAAATTAGCCATTTTTGGATGTAAAGAAATTGGCCTCCTTGCAGTTCTGCCCCACTTGTTTCCAAGGAATGGCCAGTGTAAAAACTAGTGCATTAACAGTTAATGCAAAAGCTCTAAGGCAGGAGGAGCATGTTTAGTATGTTTTGAAGAACAGCAAGGAAGCCAGTATGCTGAAATATAGTGAGCAAGAGAGAGGGTTATAGAAGAGGTGCCAGGGAAAGTATTGGGAAGAGCAGAGGCCAGAGCAGTGGCTTTGTTGCCCATCGTGAGGACTTAGGCTTTTATACTTAGTGAAATGAGCCATTGGATGGTTTTGTACAGAGGAATGATATGATCACACTTAGTTTTTAATAGTAATTGGTTGCTGTCTGAGAATGTAATTAGAGAGGCAAATAGATACTTAGGAAGCTACTGAAGTAATCCAAGAAAGAGATTATGATGATGATGACTTGGGCTATTGGGCTACAGTGGTTACAGTGTGTGTTGAGAATCAATTTGATTCGGGTTTTTTCCCCAGGTATATTTTGAAATTAGAGCCACTAGAATTTCTTGATAGATTGGAAATGGGATATGAGAGAAAGAGGATTCAAAGATGGTATTGAGGTTTTTAGCCTGAGCAGTTAGAAGGATAGAAGGATGGAATTGTCATTGAAGAGATATGGAAGAGGTCTTGGCTGGAGATAAATTGGAAATCATAGGTATTTAGAGGCTACATATATGTAAAAATTTCCTAAATATTTACCTGGGGGAGAATTGTTGGGTCATGAGGTGTGTAAATGTTCAACTTTACATGGTGGTGCCAAAATGTTTTCCAAAGTAGTGGTATCATTTTTCACTTGCATAGAATAAGGGCAGTATTTCTGGTCATGTACATTCTGACCAATACTTCTACATTCTGACCAGTACTTTGCCTAGTCTAAAGGACTATCTCATTGTGGTTTGAGTTTGTGTTTCCCTTATTCCTAATGTGGTTGAGCATCTTTTTCATGTATGCACTGTGTTTTTGCTAAAGTTATGCAAGCTCATGTCTTTTGCCCAATTTTTTATCCCTATAGTATATTTTACTGATTTGTAGAACTTCTTTTTATATTTTGGATACTAATCTTTTATTAAGTATCTTCCAATTTGTGGACGCTCTTTTTACTTTTTCTGTGCTGTCTTTTGGTGAATAAAAGTCCTTAATATAGTTGAGTTTAAAGTTTTTTAATACTTAATTTTTTTTGGTCATATTTAAGAAATCTTTATCCTGTGATCATATGTTCTCATATTTTTTTTCCTAAAAAAATTGAAGAGTTGATTTTCACATTTATGTACATAATCACCAGGAATCGATTTTTTTGTTTGGCAGGAGAAAGAAAACCAATTTCTTTCTTTCTTCCCCTGCCCCTTTTCCTACCCCCACCATATGTAACCAGTTTCCCCAGCACCATTTTTGCAATAGTACAACCTTTCCCACTGAATTATAATGCCGTGTCATAAATCAAGTATCCATATATACTTGGCCTTTTTCTGGACTATTGGTCAGTTCGTTGCTGTATGACTTCTTTATTTTCTTAATTATTTATCTTCATGGTAAGTTTTGGTATCTGTTAGAGCAGAATGCCCCTCTCCGCCCCTATCCTTTATTCTCTCTCTTCAGGAACGTTCTCTCTCTGAAACTTTGGTCTGCCATATAAAATCATAAATTGTATTAAAGCGGATAACTTAGGGGTTCTATTTATATATTGCTTTTTTTTAGATAGGTCTTCTTACTGAAAATGCATTTCAATGAATATAGTTTTCTTCATGCAAGTTTTATACATAAATTTTGTTAGAGCTATTGCTGTGTATCTTGTGTTTTTTATTAGTGTAAATCACATCTCTGAAAATTGTTTTATTTGCTGATTTATAAAAATGCCATTGATCTTTGGATTGTGGTCTTCTAAACAGTAGTTTACCTAAATTCGTTTCTAATAATTTGTTTAAATATTGTTTTCATTTCATGTTTAGCTAATCATTTCTGCAAATAACTTTCAGTCCATTAATAATTTATTTCTTTTGTGCTGACTAGAACCTCCAGCATGTCAAATAAATAGAAACAGCAATAGTGTTATCTGTGCCATGTTCCTAATTTTAAAGAGAATACTTCTAACATGTCATCATTAATGTTTATCTTTAATGGTAGATTCTCCTTATGAGTTAAGAAAATCCATTTATTCTTTTCTTGCTGGCGGGGTTGTTTGTTTTATCATGAATGAATGTAAAATGTTACCAGATACTTTTTCTGCAAATATTGAGATGAGTATGCAGTTTTTCTCCTTTATTGTATTAATGTAGGAAATGAAATAGATTCTCTAATGTTAAATCTCTTTTGCATTCTTGGGATAAATTCAATTTAATTAAGATGTTTTATCTTTTACACATTGTTTTGGTTTGTCAGAACTTTGGAATATGTGTATCTGTATATATAAGGGAGACTGCAGTAATGTTCCTTTCCATTCCTAATATTATCTATTTGGGCTTTTCACCAGAGATAAAATGTTTTGTTAACTCTTTTCAAATTACTTTTTTGATCATCTCTATTTGAAACTTTGTTTTCTAATTTATTTATATCTCACCTTATCTTTATCATTTATTTCCTGTTACTCTCTTGAGTTTATTCTTTTTATTTGATTAACTTATTTTTCAACTTCCTTTCTATAATGAGCAATTAAGGCCACAAAATTCCCTCTAAGTACCACTTTTGGTATATCCCACAAGCTTTAAGATGTGTGTCCTTCCTTATTGTTCAAATCTTGGTATCTCTTATAATGAAAGATTTGTTGATTTCTTCTTGTAATTTCATGTTTTTGGTTTTGCTTTTGTTTTGTTTTTGCTTGGTGTATTTTATTTCATTAGTTTTTCCCCTGATCCTTGTATTTCTTTTCTTCTACTTACCTAAGGTTTCATTTATTCTTCTTTTTCTAGTTTCTTAAAATGGCATCTTACATTACTAGTTTTATACTTTTCTTTCTTTTTAATATAATCACATAAAGCTATGGTTTTCCTCCTAAGCACTGCGTTAGCCACAGCCCATACATTCTGATATATTTGTTGTGTTTTCATTTTCATTCTGTTCAAGATATTTTCTAATTTCTCTTGGGATTTCTTCTTTGGTTCATTGATTATCAAGAAGTGTGTTGCTCAATTTCCAAATACTTGAGGATTTCCCAGATATATTTCTGCTGTTGATTTCTAATCCAATTTTATTGTGGTTCTGGAACATACTCTGTTTGATTTTAGTCCTTTTCAAGTAAAGAGACTGTTCTGTGTTCTAGGGCAAGATCTATTCTGGAGAATGTTCTGTGTTCCTTTGGAAAACATGTATATTCTGCTGTTTTGAAGTGGATTGTTAAGAGAGTTGTTTTAAGTTGGTTGATTGTGTTGTTCAGATTTTCTATATACTTGCTGAATTTCTAATTCTTACCAGTTACTGAAAGAGGAATATTGAAATCTCTAATTATAATTTTCGAATTATTCATTTCTTCCATTCCTTTCAGTTTTGCTTCATGTGTTTTTGGGGGTTCTTTTGTTAGGTACATAACTATTTTTAAATTTTTTTTTGTTTTTACTTTTCTTCAGGTATGTGTCCGCTTACAATTATTGTATCTTCCTAATGTACTGACTCGTAATCCAGTGTCCCTTATTGTCCCGTCCCTTAAATTGTTCACTGCAGCATTTCTTTTCTTAATGTCTATTTTGTCGCATGTACACATAGCCATCTAAACTCTCTTATGGTTACTGTTCGCATGGTATATCTTTTTTCATGCTTTTACTTTTAACCAGTTTGTATCTTTGAATTTAAAATGTCACTTACAGACAGCATATGGTTGGATATTGCTCTTTCATTCAGTCTGACAATTAGTGTTTAATGTTAATTATTGATGTAGTTATATTTATATCTGTCATTTTGCTTTTTTCAACATATTTTATATCTTTATTTTCCTCCTTGACTGCTTTCTTTTATATTAAAAAATATTTTTTAGTATGCTATTTTAATTCCTCTTTATCTTTTGAATTATATATTTAGGGTTCTTTTAGCAGTTTCTCTAGGAATTACAGCATACTTCTTTATTTATCACAGTCTACTTCAAGTAAATATAGACATGATGCTGGTAAAGTATAGCAGGTTTACACCAGTGTAGCTTTGTTTCCTCCACTCTTGTTTATGGTGTTGTCATATATACAACATCTGCCTATGTTATAAATGCAGTGTTATAATTTCTGCTTTAAATAATCTCATTAAAAAAAATTAAGAGTGTACACACACACACACAAAGTCTTTTGTGGTTACCTTTGTATTTACCATTTATAGTGCTGTTCTTTCTTTTCCTTGGATTTGAGTTACCATCTGGTGTCATTTTCTTTCAGCCTGTAGAATCTCCTTATGTTTTTGTTTTTATAACAGATCTAATAGCTAATTACCTCATTTTTGTTTATTTGAAAATACGCTTATTTTACCTTCAGTTTTGAAAGAATTTTGCAAATTACAAAATTCTTGGTTGACTTTTTTTTTTTTCTTTCAGTATTTGGAACATATTCCATTACATTTTGACCTTCATAATTTCTGATGAGACATCAGTCATTTTAATAGTTGTTCACCTACACATGATTTTTCTTATTTCTTTCAAAATGTTCTGTTTTTGGCTCTTAGCAGTTTGACTTTGATGTGTTTAGGTTATTGTTCTTTTTATCCTATTTGGGGTTTGTTGAGCTTGTAGCTGTATGTTAAGAATTTTTCACCCATTATTTCTTCAAATACTTTTTTCTACCTACTCCTTCCTTCAAAGACTTCCTTTTTTTTTTTTTTAAGATTTATTTATTTATTTATTAGAGAGAGAGAGAGAGAGAGAAGGATCAGGGGGAGAGGGAGAGGGAGAAGCAGGCTCCCCGATGAGCAGGGAGCCCAATGTGGGGCTTGATCCCAGGACCCTGGGATCATGACCTGAGCCAAAGGCAGACGCTTAATGGACTGAGCCACCCAGGTGCCCCAGAGACTTCCTTTTCACACACTATTGAAATGGTTAACATTGTCCTACAAGTTTCTTCAGTTTTACTCTTTTTTTAATGATTGTTTTCTCTGTTCTTCAGATTGGATATTTATTAATCCAATTTCAAATTCATTGCTTCTTTTACCATCTTAGATCCACATTAAGCTCCTCTTTTCTCTTGAATTTCTTGAATAGATTTACTATGCTGCTTTGAAATTTTCACTAAATTCAACATCTAGGCCCAGTCAGAGACAGTTTTTATTGGCTGCTTTTTTCCTGATTATAGGTCATACTAAATACCTAATTTTTTGGCCGAAAGCTGGACATTTTAGACAACATATTACAGTAGTTCTGGACTGTTTTATTTTTTGTGTTATTGATTTTTTTGTTCTAGTAACTTGCCTAGATTTAAACTGTGTAATGAATATGTCTCCCCATCAGTAGCACTGTCAATGCAAAATGAACAAATCTTTTAGAATTTCTTAAAAAAAAAAAAAAAGTGAGAGAGAGAGAAAGGAAAGCAAGCAGCCAAGCCCAGTTGAGGACAGCTGCTCGGGATATACAGTCTTGACAAAGAAGAGAGTACTCTGGAGAAGGAACGTCTAATACAGGGTTATGTATGTTTTTTGTTACATCAAGAGTTACAAAGCATCATGACAAAGGACATTTCAGAAAATTACAAACTTTATCTTATGCTTTTAGTATGTGCAAGGTTGCAGGCTTTGGAGGTATGGGAATGGAATTTAGGGAGATTTTTACTCATCTTTAGTTTAAAGTGTTCTTCTGGAAAGTTATTTGTTAACAAAGTAGATATACAGTGTGTGCCTGGGGCAGAAATAGAGCCCATGCTTTGAAGTTTGGTGAAGTCATTCTAACCTTGGTAAAAGTTCGCTTCCTTGGGACCCCAGGAGCAGGGCCCACAAACATTAAAAGTTGAATTCCCTTTATCAGCAATGTGTGTCTCTACTTGTTTTTTTTATTGTTATTTTTAACCCCTCCCTAGAGATCGTCTCTTTGTATGGCTTAATGGTAAGCCAGTGATTTGGGTAGAGATTGTGTTGAGGTACCTTGAGCCTCTCAACTTCTATCAACTGAGCTGGGTGTGGGTTGAGGATTGCATTCAAAGTTGCAGCCAGTTCTCAAGTCTCCTTCGCCTTTCATGTGAATTGGTTTCTTAGAACACTCCCATGTGTAGTTCAGCTGTCAGCTAGGGATTTGTGGAGATTATCTCAGCCCCTCTATGGCTCTTTCACTTCCTTAGCTCTCCTTTATATTTCTGGTTGGTCCACACCTACCCTGAACTGGCCCAGTAACCTTGGACTAGCAAAGCAATGGTTTTCAAATCCACCTCTCCCCAATCCAGTCCACCACCCTTGGATTCAAGATTGCTGGTTCTTGCCTGCCATCAGACCTAAAGTTGATAAAGTTACTATTTTCACAGCCATGTTGATGGAAGAAATGGAATAGTTCTAAGCAAGATTCCTGATGTCCTTGCCCGTAGCCCTAGCCATTTTTCAAAAATGAACACAGCTCAGGGCGCCTGAGTGGTTCATTTGGTTAGGCACCCAACTTTTGATTTTAGCTCAGGTCATAATCTCAGGGTCGTGAGATCGAGTCCTGTGTTGGGTTCTGCACTCAGCACGGAGTCTGCTTGAGATTGTCTCCCTCTTCCTCTGCCCCTCCCCCTGCTCACACACTCTTCTCTCTCTCTCTCTCTCACATAAATAAATAATCTTCAAAAGAATAAACACAGCTCAGTTTGTGTCTTGAAATTGTTTTTTGACAATTTTTTCCAGTTTTATACTTGTATTCTACAAATAGAAAATCACTCAGCCTATTCATGTTGCCATTGATATAAGTCCTTCTTGGCTTTCTTTAAATCCCCTATCAGCTAGGAAGGTAGTCAGTGTCATAGAATCCTGCTGGAGCTACTTTTAAAATTTTGGCCTAGTAGAGTATTTGTTTGATATAAGATTATATTTTTTTCTGTTCACAGGTTGCTTACGATGAAGCTACAGATGAATTTGCTTCTTACTTCAACAGACAAACTTCTCCCAAGATTCTCATCACAACATCAGATAGACCTCATGGGGTAAACATATCAATCAGTATAGTTATTGAATTCTTAATTTTCTTACATTACTTAGACTATTTAAAAGAACTCCTTTTAGAAGGTCTGAGTTAAATTATTAGTAATTGCCATAGATAATACCTGTGAATAAGCTAAATAAAATTAATACTGTGATGTGATACAGCTTCTCTAAGCATGATTTTTCAGGGTAGAGTTTATCAGCCTCAGCACTATTAGCATTCTATTAGCATCGCTATTAGCATCGTTTTTTATCATGGGGATAGTCCTGTTCATTATAGGATGTTTAGGAGCATGCCTGGCCTCTGCCCACTAGATACCACTACCCACCACCCCTACCACTACCACCAGTTAGAACCATTTTTGCCAAGTGTCCTCCAGTGGGGCATAATCACCCTCAATTGAGAACCACTGCTTTAGGATGATCAGCCTTTGATAAAGGATTAAATACTGTTCAGATATCATTCTTTCCCGACCCTTGCCCTTTATTAATAACACTTATATTAATCATTGCTTTTTTCTTTATAAATGTATTCCACATAAGACTTACTCCTTTTCACCTTCGAGGATTTCTGTTATTTTGTTTTGCAGAGAACAGTACGACTCTGTGAACAGCTCTCCACAGTTATACCAAACTCACATGTTTATTACAGAAGAGGACTGGCTCTGAAAAAAATTATTCCACAGTGCATTTCAAGAGATTTCACAGATCTGATTGTTATTAATGAAGATCGTAAAACACCAAGTATCCTTTCTTTATTAAAGAAGTTTTCCTGTCTCACCTTCACCCCCCTTTTAAAATATATTTGAAAGAATAAGGAAATGTTTTCTATAACTTTAAGAACATAATTTTTAAGCTAGAAAATTATGTATCTAAGATTCTATGAACTTTTTCTTTTCATGTAGCAAATATTCATCAAGTAAATGCTACAGGCAAGACATTACTTTAATCCTTAGTAAAAGATGCAGAGATGAACAAGAGCTTCAGGGAGTTCATAATCTAGTAGGAGAAAATAGATAAGCAAACTAACAAAAATGGAGAGTGGATAGTACAATTAAAGAGAGAAAGACAGTGCACACTCTGGTAAAATCTGCCCTGGGGATATCAGGGAGGAAGGACTTGACAGAAAAGATGCTTAAGCTCAGTTAAGGTGAATATGGGTAAATGAGGTGAATAAGGTGGAAGAAGAGTGCCCAGTGCAGATATACTATTTGTAAAGGCAGAGGCATGATGGAGCTGACCCAACTGGGGATCTGCAAGTAGTTAGATATGGCTAGATTTTATGTTACCAGGGGTGGTATCACAGGATTACGTTTTTGAGGTAGATGTTTGAGCCCATATTATGTATTTGCTACTGTTTCAGATGCCAAGAATACTCTATCCTTTTTTCTGTGAGTCTCAGATCTGAGGTGACTGTGTCACATGAAACCAAGGTATTTTTTTCCTGCTTGGAGATGAAAGAGCACATAAAGATGCCTAGGTTTGTTTTTGTTGTTGCTGCTGTTTTACTTATTTATCGAATGGTGCCTATGGGCTCATTAATGTAATTTAATTTTTTTTTAAGATTTATTTATTTTTAGAGAGCACATGAAGCAGGGGAAGGAGCAGAGGCAGTGGGGCTCGACCCCAGGATCCTGAGATCATGACCTGAGCGAAAATTAAGAGTTAACTCAGCCACCCAGGCTCCCCTGTGAGCTCATTAATTTTGAAGATGATCATTTGAATGGGTCAAATTATTAAAATTATTAAGGATTCATAAAAAATAGGGATAGGACTTTGCTGCTGCCAGAATAACATTTTTTTTTAAATCAACACTGCCTTTTTTTTTTTTTTTTAAATAATAGTTTAAAAGCTATGTTTTAAAAACCTAAATAACTTTTAGGGCCTTATTATTTTCAGTATAAGTTAAAGACATTATCCACTTGTACAGGTTGCTTTCCAGAGACTAAAATAGGCTAAAACTAGCTTTCTAATGTGATGTTTTGTTGGCCATATTACAATTTGGCTTGGATTGTGGATTAATGTACCAAAATAACTAAAATCTCTTGAATACTTAACTATTCCAGAAGAGATGTTTTTAATGTAGTTTCTGCTTTCTTTAAAACTGTCTCCCAAAATAAAGTGGCAGGGTCTGTGTTCCTCTCTTATTTTTGGCAGTTAAAAAATTATTACCATTTTAAGGCTGCTAGCAGGCATTCATCAGTTCAATAAACATTGTATCCTTGTTTTAGTTGAGGTATTTTATATAGGTTCGTAAGTTTCACTTATACCATCTATTGCCTTTAGACTTATCTTCTCTTTTCCTTATAAAATTGTATTGTCTTTTTACCCAAAATATATTAATATTTTTCTGGTTACCATATTGGACACCTTCAGATCATTAAGGTACCATCAGTACATAGACCAAATTTATATTAAGGAAATAACTAGACTAACCCAAGTGTGAGATTATATTCCTATACACATGAATATATACATGCATACATACATATGCATGTGTTAGGTATCCCATGATTGTAGGTTTTGAGTATAGAATTATGTAGTTTTTAAAAGTCCTAATGAATAGAATTTTTATAAGTATAATCCTGCTTGGATGTTGATTTTTTTTTTTTAGATTTTATTTATTTGAGAGAGGGAGATAGTGACAGAGATAGTGAGAGAGAGCACAAGCGGGAAGGAGAGGGAGAAGCAGGCTCCAGCGGGAGCCTGACGTGGGGCTTGATCCCAGGACGCTGGGATCATGACCTGAGCCAAAGGCAGACACTTAACTGACTGAGCCACCCAGGTGCCCCTGAATGTTGATTTTTATAATTTCAAAGGTACTTCATTTTCTTTTCTAATTGATATGTACTAATGCAGTTGATGGCAAAGTGTTGGTGGAAGAAGCTAGGGAAGCAGACCTCCTAAATTGCTTTTGTGTTCTCTTAACAGAGAATGGTCTTTAAGACTAATAAGGACATTGGTAAGGGGCATTAGAAGTCCATCTTGGTTAAAAAGATTTTAAGATAAGGCCTAGAAACTCTGAATAAGGCAGATATACTGGCTTCAAAGAATATCTGCACAAACTTGTAAGTGAGACTTTGCTAACTCTGAGGAAGATATGAGACAGGCAAATGGAAGGAGGAGGGGGAGAGGACTGCCGGTTAGTATTTGCCATGATCCAGAAAAAACATGTAGAATAATTAAAGGGAGAATAATTTGCAGGCACGTAATAGGAATGGCAGTGTGATTCCTAGAGACTTAACATGGGCTTACAAATAATAAGTCATGATTCCTAATGGTGACACTTGGAGAAAAGTTGAAAGAATTGAGGATATTTGGCCTGTGGGAAATTAGAATATGGGGGCATGACAAGATACTGGAAGGGCTGCTGTAAAAGAGTAGTGCCAAATGGTGGAAATTTATGGAGATGTAAACTTGATTTCCTCTAGAAAAGAGCTTTGTCAATTATGTAAACTGTAGTATAGTGGCTTTGGGTCAGGCAGATGTGATGTCAAATACACTTCATTACTTGCTGCTTTTGTAATTTTTGTCAAGTTTCTTAGCTACTCGGTTTTCTCCTATTTTAAAGTAAGAAAAAATAGCTAAATCTTTAGGGTTCCCACAAAGACCACATGAAATGTATATTTCCGCAGCTTAATGCCTGGTCCGTTGTAGGCATTTTAGTAAATGATATAGGGGAAAGCATGGAAGTATTTTCTGGAGAGACCTATGTCCTCTATTCAGTATTTTTAGATGGAAATTTGAGCTAGGTAAGTCTTTGTGCTGTACTTTTGGCGGCTTGTAGGCTGTTTTGCATTCTTGGCCTTTGGGTACTAAAAGTCAGTTTTACCTCAGTCTTCATAACAGAATGCCTCTATGCATTAGGGCTTGTGCACAGGTGTAATCCCACCTAGTAAGATCTGCCACCTAGCTCTGAAATTTGGGCTAATCTGCCTAACCCTTCTCAACCTCTTTTCCTTGTTACTGAAATAGGGATAATGACTCCTATTCATGGTTTATGTTAGGAATTAGCAATAACATAAGTAGTAAAACTTTTTGTACATTGCAGGTACTTAGGAACTGATAATTTTGGATTTTGTGGTTTTCTTTTGACAGAAGCCACAATTTAGTGGGAATGTTCTAGGAAGGAGTCAAGTCTTGATTTATGTTGGAAGAAATTACCTTTACCTTCTTAGCATCCTGAGATTTCATGGTTTTTTCCAGTGTGCAAATGATCCAGAAATACTTTTGGTTATACCTCATGAAATTGAACCTGTGGTGAATTTTTGAGAAGTAGGAAAGAATTCAAATAACACTGATTATCTGCTATGTGGTAGGCACTAGTATTTATTAGAAACAAATTTGTCTTCCAAGAGTTAACAGATTAGTTGGGAAGAAAGTCATTTACATGATTATAAATCAAATAAGTGACAGGTGCTAAAGTTAAGTAACAGTGACAGCTGAGATTTAAAGCTTAATTTTAGCTCTGTGAAAAGAGGTGGCATTTGAAGTAGGCCTCAACAGTACTGCCCTTCTTGGTCAAGCTTGCCTCAGTCCTAGCACAGCGAGCCCCTTCCCCAGAAGACCAGCACCATGTCTCCTGACCAAAGAGTTCTGCAGGGCTTCAGATCTAGTGGAAGTAGTATCAGGTCTCATTTAACAAACAGATCAGAGCACACCTAGTTAAAATTCACCAGATTCTGGCCGAGGACCAAACACTGCCCACTGCAGGCCAGGAGAGCCTCTGCAGACAGCTGGCCTGAAGGACAGAGCGGCCAGAACACAAGGTAGAGCACACACAGCACACACCAGGGACACTTCCTAAAGTGCCAGGCCCTGGGCTGTATAGGACCTCTACTTCCTAAAGCCATTACTCTTTGGAGCAGGAAACATATCAAGCTTTTCTAACACAAAAGAAGGCAGAGACTTTGACAAAATGCCAGATGGAAAAATTTATCCCGAATGAAAGAACAAGATAATGTCACAGCCAGAGATCTAAGCAAAACAGATATAAGTAACATGTCTGCTGGAGAATTTAAAGCAACAATCAAGGATATTCATTGGGCTTGAGAAAAGAGATTTCAGGGAGGCCCTTACCACAGAGATAAAAGAGTTAAAAGTCAGAAACGAAAAATGCAATGACTGAGATTGGAAACAGGCTAGATACAGTGAACACAAGGCTAGAAGAAGCAGAGGAATGAATAAGTGATATAGAAGACAATAATGGAAAATAAGCTGAACAAAAGAATTATGGAACATGAGAACAGATTTAGGGAATTCAGTGACTCCATCAAACATAACAATACTCATAAGAGTGCCAGAAGAAGAGAGAAAAGGGGGCGGAAAATTTGAGGAAATAATAGTTGAAAACTTCCCTAATCTGGGGAAGGGAATAGACATCCACATCCAGGAGGCACAGAGAACTCCCATCAAAATCAACAAAAACAGGCCATCACCAAGATACATTGTAGTTAAAATGTCAAAATATAGTGATAAAAAAAAATCTTAAAAAAAAACCAGTAAGACAAAAGAAGTCCCCAACTTACAAGAGAAGACCCAAAAGGCTAGCTGCAGATTTCTCAACAAACTTGGCAAGCTAGAAGGCAGTGGCATGGTGTATTCAAAGGGCTGACTGGGAAAAATCTGCAGCCAAGAATGTTCTATCCAGCAAGGCTACCATTCAGAATAGAAGGAGAGAGAGTTTCCCAAACAAAAACTAATGGAGTTTGTGACCACTGAACCAGTCCTGCAAGAAGTATTAAAGGAGACTCTTGAGAGTAGAAAGATCTCCAGAAACAATGACAAAACAAGTAATAAAATGGCACTAAATACATATCTATCAGTAATTACTCTGAATGTAAATGGACTAAACGCTCCAATCAGAATGGATAGAGAAACAAGACCCATCTATATGCTGCCTACAAGAGACCCATTTTAAACTAAAGATACATGCCAACTGAAAGTGAGGGGATGGAGAAGCAAAATGGATGTAAAAAAAAAAGCTGGGGTATCAGTGCTTATATCAGACTTACAAACTAGACTTCGAAGACTAACGAGATGCAGAACACTGTATCATAATATAGGGGACAGTTGAACAAGATCTAACAATTGTAAATATGCACCCAGCAAAGGGGCACCCGGATATATAAAACAGTAACAAACATAAAGGCACTCATTAAGTGGGTCTTAGGGATGAGTTAAATAATGCAGGTATTTGAAATAGCATGAACAAAAAATACATAATAGCATTAATATGTATGGTGTATAAGAGATTGTGTGCCTACCAGTTAAGAAACATAGGCATAAAGGGAGACAGATTAGAAAGGTGATTTGGGGCCACGTGAGAGCTGGACTGATCTCTCTGTTTTGTAGATGAGCAGTCGTGAGAGTAGTTTGAAATTAGCTACAGCTGTCAAGACTCAAGGTGTATCTAGTTTGCTTTTCACTTAGCGTGAGAAACCGTGGTAGATAAAATGACAGTTGCGTCCCATACCTTATTACATATAAACTTGATTTACAGTCTATTAGAAAATGTACTTGGAATGGTGAGGGGTCAGACCAACTAGGATACTGTTTTAATGTAGGTGGAAAATCTCAAGGACCTCAACTAAGAGAATAGCAGTAAGGGTAAAGAGAAGGCTATATGGAAGTCCTTAATTTGAGGGTAAAAGCAGTAAATAGGATTTGGTAAGGAAGGGAAGGAGGAAGTTGAAGATAACCCATGGGCTAATGGGAGAATGTTGATGCCTTTATAAAAAGATGGCAACATTTGTTTTGTAAAACCGTGTGCAGATAATTTGGAATAGTCTGATTCTGACCTCCTTTTAAGGTTCCGTATTTGGAAGAATCAAGTTGTGTCACAAAGACTTGAGGAATGTTGTATAGGTGGCTGCGTTCCAGACTTTTAAAGCCCTTGGGCTGCTAACCCTGCCAGTTGTAGGTATACTTCATTTATAGTTTAGTATGTCTGCCAGAAGTCTCTGTGGTAGACAGTCAGTAAAAACCTGGTTATTAATTAGCTGATTTTACTTTGTGGCACAGTAATCCCAAGAATAAGAGCTTGTCTTTCGAGAAACACTAATAACTTTGATTTCAAAAAGAGAGCTTAGGAGTCTCGAGTCTTATGGGACAGTATTCAAAGCTGACAGCATATACTAACCCTACAAATGTATAAAAAATATGCATACAAGTGTGTTTATGTATGAAAGTGCATTTTTAGGGTTATAAGGCCTCTGAACATGGAGGTAAACTTTTTGTTTGCAATGCTAAAATTATGCTAGAATCCCATCTTATTACTGTTAGGGTAGTGGACATAAGCTCCTTTTGCCTAGTTTTGTTGAATACCCAATGTACCCTCTTGAGGGTGATGAGTCATTTATCATATGAAGAGAAAAAGTGGGAGTACTATAGGTTGATCTTTTTTTGAAATACTGGGTTGACTTACGGGGCTTTAGTTTTGAGTATGGTAAACTGTTAACCCAGAGGCATACATGTACCTACCTATTCACCTAGCTACAAATTTTATGAGCCTTTGGACATACAGAGGCCCAGTTATTTATACAATTTAAGATTTAAATTACAGCGTTCAGTGTGTTCTTAGCTTTATGAACAGATGGATTAATTCTAAGTCACTTGCCAAATGGCCCAACTGCTCATTTTAAAATGAGCAGTGTTCGTTTGCGTAAAGAAATTAAGGTAAGTTTTATTCATTCCTTGATTGGCATTGGTCTCCTTGCAGTATATGCTTAGTCAACTCTGTACACTTACAGATCAAATTGCTTTTATAATGGCATTTGTCCTTCTGCTTAAAGCAAGTTTCATCTACTGGCAGTTTTCTTAGGAGATTGTAATTGAGTTATGGCAGACAGGCAATAGCCTTCATTACTATGAAACAGGTTACTTTTCTAGTAGGACTTTTTGGTACAGTCAACTGCATGTTAAAATAATTTTAGATGTATTTAATGGGATTGATAAGTCATCTGTGGTAGTTTGTCATTAAGAAAGATACCTTTAAAATTTTTCAGTTTGTCACGTAAATTCTTAAACTTGAACTGACAGTGTCAGGATATAAATTCCTTATTGTGATATTTTTCATCATTTTTCCAGAGAAGAGGCAAGGACCCTACAGAACACATACCTGAAATAATTTTGAATAACTTTACAACAAGACTGGGTCATTCTGTTGGACGTATGTTTGCATCTCTCTTTCCCCATAATCCTCAGTTTATTGGGAGGCAAGTTGCTACATTCCACAATCAACGGGACTATATCTTCTTCAGATTTCATAGGTGAGGAAGTTACTTTAACTCAAGACTTTGACGCAAATCATGAAATATATTTTCAATGTAAACATGTTTTCTAATGTATTGTGACAAGTATTGTAGATGAGAAATTATCTTTTGAACTCTGTCACGTTAAATTACATTTGATTCATTCAGACTGTTTTCCCTTCTTTCATTTATCTTTGAAGGTACATATTCAAGAGTGAAAAGAAAGTGGGAATTCAGGAACTTGGACCACGTTTTACCTTAAAATTAAGATCTCTTCAGAAAGGAACCTTTGATTCTAAATATGGAGAGTATGAATGGGTCCATAAGGTATGTGCCTTATTTCAAAAACCATTTAGATCATTTTAAAAGAATGGAATGAGAAGGAAACCATGTACTTTATGCTTTGAGAGTGCTTACATCTCAAGCTATGCTTCTGACCTCCATAAGCTTGAAAGAAACCATAAGCTTGAAAAAACCAATCTCTAATAGGGTATTTTGCTCTGGTGATGAACCCTGGTTCATTTGAATTATCCTAAAGATCAGTGGTCCTCAAAGTGGGCCAGCAGCATCACCTAGGAACCTGTTAGGAAGGCAAATTGTTGGCCCACAGACCTACCAAATCAGCATCTTAGGGAGTGGGGCCCAGCACTCCATTTATAAGCCAGTGTTACGATTCTGCTGTATGTTTGAAAACTTTTGCTATAGAGGTTTTGTAAAGTTTGTAGATCATTTTAAATCAGAAATGAAAACTTCAATATTTTAAAACCCGTCTCTTTTCTAGTAAGCAATAATTCACTTAGGTATTTTTACTTCAAAATTTTATATGTATATTATACACCTACATATTAGAAAAGTAACTTCTAATACCTTTATTAGACCTAGACTATGCAGTCTCTGAAATGGACCCAGAGGGTTTTTTTTTTTAAAGCATTGTTACCTATAAATTGTTTTACTTTTTTTTTCCTAATTTTCAGCCCCGGGAAATGGATACAAGTAGAAGAAAATTCCATTTATAAAATACTGAAGGAATAGTATTGAATTGTGCTAAACAGGCCAATCCTGGATTTATGACAGAAGACCCTTTTCAAAATGTCATTTACTGGTTTAATAAACCTTTTCATGTCTGGACAAAGTATCAAGTGCCATGAATTACCATTCACCGTCTATGTAGTAAATACAAATAAAAGTCATTTTGGTGAATTTAGAAGTTGCAGTTTAAGTTTCCTAAAAATTCTCTTATTTCTAGGTACTTGTAAGTTGGAATCAAGATTCAAACTAACTTTTCCACGTGTACTTTCATGGAACATGTGGCCTGGAGAGAAAATACAGTCCTTGGTAGATACTAACCCAATGGTTTTCTACCAGCCTAATCTTGGATCTGGCACATAACTTTAATTCTGTTTCCTGCATGAATATAATATATTGGGAGGCCAGGTTTCTGGGATGTTTTAATATTTCCTTAAGCCTTTCAGAATGGTAAAAATTTTAAAGCAAAATGGTTTACCAAGGACTTAACAGTTGCAAATTACTGAAGCTAAACTTTGGTTCCTTTTTTCTTGGTACTTTGTACCTCATTACATTGTACTATAGTATTCCACCCAAGAAACGTTTAAAAGTCTGTTTTTCTTAACATCTTCTAATGGAATTCCTATGTCCAGTCTTTACTGTCCTTATTAGGAGAGCAATCTATTAAGGAGTAATTAACTCTTGGGTATAATGGTAATAACCCTACACAAAAGTTTATTAGAAATATTTATTATTAAAACAAAGTTAATCCTGCAAATAACTCATGAGTAGGACTAGTACTAGCAGCTTCCTCCTGACCTTGAAAGGATACAAAAGTCTGCAACTTACCTTTAATTCCCTATAGTCTTTCAAATAAATGTATGGCATAAAATTATATGTGAGATGAGTTGGTGGGAAAAAACACTGTAACTTAACCCCTTCTCTTAATGACAATGGGAAACTGTCATGTATCTTAGGTATTCAAAATAAATTGTCTATTTAATACCAGTAATTAACCAAAAAACTTTTATACTAAGTATTTTATTGTATGCTGCCGCCAGTGTATATAAAATAATTACCCTTGTGAAATAGAAATTTATGAAAATTGAGAGAGGTAGATGTTAAGGACTGACAAAAGTAGAAGTTTATATAGTATGGCACGTGTTATAGGGATAATAAGCTTTTGTACAGGCTTCAAATTTAATTCTCCTTTGAATATTCACTGGTTCATGAAAAGTGGTTTAGAAAACCTGAAATGGAAAAGAAAGAGTGAATTAGGGTACAGTACCAAAGCACAATAGTTTTTTCTGAAAAGTAATACATCTATTACTTTAAGGGCATTCATTTGCATATGAGCTTATAAAGTGCTTTCAATTAAACTAAGCCTGTTTTATTTTTTAAAAAGATTTATTTACTTGAGAGAGAGCCAGCACTGGTGTGTGCGCAATGGGGGGGGGGGGCGGCATGGGAGAAAATATCCAAGCAGACTCCTGACTTGGGACTCGATCTCAGGACCAATGAGATCAAGATGCCTGAACCACCCAGGTGCCCCCAACTAAGCCAGTTTTGTTTTGTTTTTTTTAAAGCAGACATATCGCAGGGTTTCTAGGGGAAAAAATGAGAAACAGATCTCTGTGATGTATAAAATGTAACTTCCTCTTAATTTTCACAACCACTCTGAAGTACAAATCACTTCTGGTTTATAAGCAACAGACTTAAAGATTAACTTGCCAAGATCACTCCCAAAGACACTCTATGTCCTAATAAAAAAAAGTTAATGTAAAACTCTCTTAAATTCTGAAAAATCTGAACATCCCTAGAAAATGAGCAGTTAGCATTGATGAGAGCAGTCTGGCTCTATCTACCAAGGTAAAAGATGCAATCCCACTTCTATTTACCTAGATAAACCTACGCTTAAAGAGAGACACATGTACACGGATATTGACTATAGTGGTGTTTTAACAGCACAGAACTTGAAAAAGCCTAAATGTAACGCAATAGGGGAACAGATAAACCAGGATGTATACATATTGTTGAATACTATACAGCAGTTAAAACAATTTACATGGATCAACACAAATCTCAAAAATAATACAGTAGTTGTTCCTAAAAAACAGTAAGTTATCTATATGGAAAGGTAGAAAAAGTTTATCTTTTAAAAATTTCTTTTTGATACATGGTTCTCTACTTATTTGAAAATTTCTGATATTTTATAACAAAAATGTTCAAGAAGCTTAAACAATCAGTGGTGAAAAAACAAAATGTCTAACCTCAATTAACATCTGAATGCAAATTTAAAAAACTAGGCAGAAAATGAGGGTTGTTTAGCAAGAGCTCAACAAAAACGCATTCTCAAGGTCCAGGTGGAAAGTTTGCTCCTAGTTATCAAGTGTCATTAAATTTTAAATGTCATTCCTTATTGAATAATTTTACTTTTATTTTTTAAAGATTTTATTTATTTGAGAGAGAGTGAGGAAGAGAGAGCTTTAAGCCAGGGGGAGGAGAGCAGAGAGGAACAAGCAGACTCCACCCAACACGAGGCTCTTTCCCACAACCCTGAGCTCATGACCTGAGCCGAAGTCAAGAGTCAGAAGCTTCCAACTGAGCCACCCAGGCACCCCTAAATAATTTTAAGAAATCGATCTTAAGGAAACAGGTAAACTATACATAGGAGTACCAAGATGTTTGCCTCAGTGTAGCTTCAAACTCGGAAACCTCAATATTTAATGATGTTTAAGTCATAACCATTGAAAATCTCGTTTACAAAGAATTTTTAATGAAGAAAATTCAAGTGTTTTTTTAAAAGCAGAATAAAAACTACATACTATGATCCTTATTGTCTGTAAATCTGCCCATAAATATTTCTTCCTCTTAAAAGGAAATCTAATCTATTAGCAGTGATTGTTTCTAGGTGTGCTGATCATGGTAATTTCTATTTTCCTTGTACTCGATCTACTACTAAATTATTTTTTAATTTAAATGATCAAAACTATATATTTTTAAAAGATGTGAAAGACTGACATGTAGATTCTTTGCATCCAGGCCATTTCACTGTGGGCCACCCAGGACCACCAGCATCAGTATAACCTGGGAGTCTGTAAGAAATGCTTCACCCCTAGAATTCAGACCTATTGAGAATTTGCTTCTGAACAAGGTGATTTGCAGATACATTCAAGTTTGAGAAGAAATGCTTTTACATCCAAATGTCCTTTTCCTGGACCAAGGTGTTTCAAATCATACCTACAAACTTGTTTTATTATACTGCCAGGATTAGTAGCAATTATTTTACTCTGAAATCTGGGTTCTTATCCTAGCTATATTTATAACTTTGAGCAAGTCATTTAAACACCTATCTGCAGACTCTTGTGAAATGAAACCGTTAATAGCCAGATAAGAAGCCAGGCTTCTTAACAGTATTTTATATCAAATGAAAATAAACCTCTTTGTAAAGTGAATACAACAGGAATAGAGTTTAAAAAAGAATCTTTAATAAGCCACAAAAAGAAATTTCCAAAAACTGCCATGAAGAATTAATATTACTAGAGGCAAAGAACTATTAACTATTCCAAAATGAACGTGTTAAGCTGTTAAAAAGAATGACTTCCTCATGGGAAACCTGTTACTCAAAGGTGGTTTCTGGTGTTTCAAAATCTTAACCAATTTAACCATTTTATTTACTGGAAATATGCTGACTTCCTGGATACTACCAAATCTACAAAGCTTAATGAGGGAGGGCACAACCATGTAACACGGTATTTTAGGAAGCAGCTTCCTGAACTTTGAGGAGTTAGAATGTTTGTAAAGGGTGTGTGCCACAGTTTTTTTTTTTAAAGCACTATTATTTTACAGTTGCTTCTCAGAGGTCAGTACAGGTGAGTAAACCCTCTGACTAAAGTACCGTGTATTTATAAAAGGTAGCACCCTTGGATTACATTTTAAATTCTCCACAGCATGTTTTTTGGTCACAACTCTCTTGGATTAACATTCTATACTTTTGCACACATTGACATTTGACCTGGAAGGTACAGATTAATATATAGACACATGCCTTAAACCAGCAAATTCTTTAGTTTCTTAATCTTCTGAAATCAAATCCGCTGCCTGCCACCATGAACTCATACACTTCATTTCTCTCTTGTTCTATCTTTACTTAACAAGAATAAAGAGTAAAACCTGTTATTCCCCACTACAAATGTCAGTTTATTCAATGATCTCTTGATTTTCTCTTACATTCCCAACTCCCAATTCTTTGCTATGCTGCGTTATAGCTGGGTTCTATTACAGAAATGACATCAGGATTAATCCAAATCAGTTGGTAGTATTAAAAAATCATCCCCATAAACACTGCAGATTTTTTTTAAAACTGTCTAAATATTAAGGCAACTTACCATCCAAAGATTCATTTTACTACAAAAAGGAACAGACTTTTTGGGGTCTGAAGGGATTCGTACTTGAAGATACACCAGTTAGCAGGGGGTCGTGTTGGGCATTCTGCAGACAGAATTGTTTCAAATCTGCAGCTGCCTGGGAAACCTGTATAAGACAGAAGGAGAGGGTAGTGGGAAGAGGCGAGAATGTTTTTTTAAATTTTATTTTATTATGTTAATCACCATACATTACATCATTAGTTTTTGATGTTGTGTTCCATGATTCATTGTTTACGCATAACACCAGTGCTCCATTCAATACGTGCCCTCTTTAATACCCATCACCAGGCTAACCCATCCCCCCACCCCCCTCCCCTCCAGAACCCTCAGTTTGTTTCTCAGAGTCCATAGTCTCTCATGGTCCGTCTCTCCCTCCAATTTCCCCCCTTCATTTTTCCCTTCCTATGATCTTTTTTATTTTTCTTTTTATGTGCTATGGTGAGCACTGTGAATTGTGTAAGACTGATGAATCACAGCGAGAATGTTTTAATGAAGGTTTTCCTCAAATCTTTGAAATACCTGCAATAAATACTTCTCTCTCTTTTTAAAGATTCTGAGCCACCCGGGCGCCCCTATAAACACCTCTCTTAAGTCAAAAGATACATACCAATTGAAGGTCAACAGTCATATATATACTGAGCTCATACTCAAAACACTACATGTACAGAGGACTAGTTTATGTTTTCTTTTGCTTGCTTATTAAAAGCATCAAATGATTCAGTACATCTGCAAAATAAAACCTATCTTGCTAGTTTATTAATAATCTTCAGAGGTATTCCACCTTCAGGGCCTCAATGTTTTTTATTAAAAGCCGTACACTAGATACAAAAGGTGTTAAAATTCTAGCCAACTATTACTTTGTCTTGAAAGCAATACTATTGGAAAAATGCTACTGTGAATGAACATTATGTTCTAAATCTGAACCATTCAGTTCATTGTTTTGGTATTATGTACCACTGCTGTTTAAGGTTATGAAACTGAACAGTGACTGCTTTCTGCTTAATGTCATGTGACTGAAAGGCTGATAGCAGATTTCAAATTATTTTAATAACTTCACTGAGCAGCCTGCCTTTAAAAAGCAGTCTATTTGCTTAAATGTGATTTTAACAATTTTCATATACATATACAATGCCACTCAAACAGGACTTAAGGAATTATCACTTAAATGTCTACTATTTGTATACTGATAAGGTGATGTAGAATACCAAAATAAAGAACCGAATGGTTCAAATGTAGAACATGAATAACTAAAAGATGTACCAAATGAATACAATATCCTCAGTCTTGAGGTTTAGGAAGATGGGGAAAATAATGATTTATTTTCAGTTTCAACTATCCCCAAGGAGGGTGAGAGCAGGTGCCCAGTCCGGCTGGGCGTTTGCCTGTGAAAGGGAGGTAAGAGCATCACAAATACCCTCTATAAGAAGAAATCCTGCAGATTACTGCTGTATCCCAGACATTTACCTGGTAGAAGGATACATGATCCTGAGATGAATCTCAAGTCTTGAAATCTATTTGTATGTTTGGGTTATACTACAGTCCAGAGTAACTGAGTTCCATAGGTTTATTTAGCAACTGTGTATTATGTAAATACCTGATACCAAGTGCTACAAAAAATGGCCACCCTGTTTACCCACCAAAAGAAGGTGTAAAGGAAGGTGTAGCCAAAGTGGGGAGTATGCATGGTATCATTTTGCACAATCTTAAAACTTGGTTTCATTCACATTAACTAGCAGTAAGGATAAAGTATTAATTTTCTGCCTAAAAGGGAGGCAGGCTCCAACTTAACTAATTCCCTTTTACAAACTTCTCAAGCACTAGTACGTGCCAAATATACTCTAGGCACCAAGAATACCTAAGAACAGCCAGGTCCTTGTTATGGAGGTGACAGTTCAGAGGAAAATACTCTTTTTTCTTTGGAAAAAAGAGTGGTAAGATCGTGCCTTAAGGGAAGGTGTCTCTGGGGAGGTGGTATTTAAACTTGAGATCTCAAAGACTAGAGAACCAGCCAGGTAACTATCAGTGAGAAACCAATCAGAATTCTAAGCAGTGGGGAGAACTAAGACAAAGGCTCTAAAACTCAAAACAAGCTGCTAGCCCCTAAAGCATTGTAATAATCACCATCCAGGAGGTTGAAACCCTATAATCCTGGCATAATTATTACTGCCCTCTTTCACTCTCAAAACTGTCCTGGGTTGGTGAAACAACGTATAGTCACCCTACATATGGTAGAGTTTGTCAAGCATTTGTGAAAATTCCTATCAACTGTACTCAAACAAAGGTTTAACAGTAAACTTGGCTAGTTTAAAAATAAAAGAACACCCAAAAAAGCATCTAGCAGAGTCATGGATAAAATAGGCACACAGAAATCGAACTAACCACATTTTACAACAGATTTGAAGAAAAGTTCATTTAAAGTCTCAAGGTGGGATGCCCTCCCTTCCTTGCTACAGCCCCTAGCAGGAGATGAAATGAGAACTCTAAAACCAAATCACCTATGGTGGCTTTAAGGCTCCTGACCAGAAGCCTCCTGAAGAAATGAAGTATAGGGAACAGGCATCACTCTGGAGAGTTACTGGAGTAGCTGGGGTTTTCACGGTAAACCCTCAAGTACTGTAGTCTGAGGACTTCCATCTCATTTTCTTTTGAGACAAGGGCTAAGTACCCCTACTGAACACTTACTGCTTTCAACCAATCTTTTTTTTTTTTCTTTTGCCTCCCATACCCCTCCCCATTTTTTCTTTCCTGAGCTACTCCAACTGTGGTAAAGGCACACCTGAATGATAATGTAATGGTTGGTTAAGAAACAAATTTGAGTTAAATCCAGCCAAGAGTGACCATAAACCACTGGGATGAAGTATCTGGATATGAGAGAAATGGACTCCAACAACAATGGAGTCTACAGCACTTAAGGCCAGGAAGGGAGGGGAATCCCACACCAAAACTGATGGGAATTTCCCTCCCGTCCTGAGGTGACCACAACTGGTCCCTGACATTTCTATTTAAGGAAATAGGTAAATGGGAGGCTGTCTTACTCCACAGAACATTTCAGGGAGAAGTAAAGACTAGCCCGGTAAGTACACAATCAAGTCATCTTGGAAACTGGCTGTTTCTTTCAACGGAGTGCATGATTTATATTCTTCTGCTTTTTTTTTAATTACAAGAAGAGTTTCACTTGTAAGCTGACCTGTGCCAGAAAGAAGCCAATCCATTTAGGATTTTAAAAATCAGAAGAAACTTGGAATAGCATGTCAATGTCAGGTTATCCTACCAACACACACAAAAGGTTTTTCCCCCAAAGTAAACGCCCAAGGTCAGCGTTAACCAGTCTGCAAAACAAATAAAACTTGTCCACCCTGTTCACTTAGAGCAGACCAGTAGATATTCCCAAGGTCGGATCCCAGCAAACTGTGCCAAATAGGTATGCAATGCACGCTTTGTACGAGGTTGTACAGGGCACCAGTGGTACCTTAGACACTGGGAACGTTCTGAAAACATGCTTCTTTAACCTAAAGTTTGCGTTTGCAAAAATTCGTTTTCAAGTATGTGTTCGGTGGATAAGAAGAGCTGGAGGTAAGAATCTAGTACTAAAAGGAGTTGGGTTTGGGAACGTTCTGACGTGAAAAGAAAATTGGTTCTGTTCTGAATTAAAAGTCAGATAAAACTGTCCAGTGAAAAGAAAGGGTGGAGTCTGGTAAGCTGAGGACTGGAAGGGTGCGGACGGCGCACGGAGGAGCAGCTGTTGCCCAAGCCAGCCACGGAGTCACTGCGAAGGGAGGGAGGGAGAAGGGCGAACGGAATGCGGAAAGCCGCAGTTCAGCCCCGGGACCAGCCGTCGTGGAAAGCCCCGGCCGCACAAGGGCGCACTAACCGGCACCCCAAGCCACAGCGCCGACCCGCGCCCCTACTTTTCTAAAAAGTTGGCCGCTCCCGGAGCCTCGCCGCCGAGCGCGCGCCCTCCCCAAGGGAAGCGGGAGACGGACGCGAGTGCAGCCAGTCCCAGCCACCTCGGCCTCCCGATCCCACCCTCCGCCTCCGCCCTCCCCTCCCCCTCGGCCGCCCGCCCCCGCTCACCTTCACTCGGTTGAGCCCGGCTTCCAGCCGGAGCTGTTGAACCACTTTCTTCATAGCGGCGACGCTGGAGGAACCAGACATGGCGCTCTCAAGAGCGGGCAGATCCGTCCGTGCGTGGATCGGTCGGTTTGTGGGTCCGCTGGGCCAGACGGTGGGGCAGCGCGGCGGGGGGCGGGGCTCGGAACTTTGTCTCTTAAGTTTCCGGTTCTTTGCCCAGCGGCTCCACCCGCGGCGCGCATGCGCGCTCCTCCTCCGCGCTCAGTTCCAACTCCTCACCCGGGCGGGGAGCGGAGCCGGAGGGAGGGGGAGAAGGGAGCGAGAAGGGGCGGAGCGAACTGTGGGCAGAGTAGCTGCGGGACGCGAGCGCGACCGGACGGCCGTCTTCTCCTTCCTCTCCCGAGAGGCCGACTTTGGAAAGGTAAAAAAGAAAAAAAAAAAAAGTTTGTCATTAGCCGCCAAGACCCGAGGGGGACCCTGAAGAGGACTGGTGAGGGAAGTCAGGTGCTTGAGGGAGTTTATAAAAGGCGTGGTGGCAGGCTGACAAGGAGGTTCTAGCTTTCCTGACGGCGTTGGTGGCAGAGGTTGAGGGAAGAGAAGGACCCAGCCGAGGTGTATAGGAGCCAGAAGTACCGGGCGCGAGTCACTGATACTGTACCCTGTCTCTTTAGAGACATGTCTCTGAGTGACTCGAGTTTGTTCAACGGGCGGCCAGTCCTCAGCCAGCTTCCCGCCATCAGACCCCTGAGGCCGAAAAAGGGCACGGAGGTTGCTGTAACTGACCGGGGAGGAGCGGGGCGACGGGGAGCAGGGGTGCTGTTTAGCTAGGGAAAAGCGCTTCCCAGGATTTGGCTTCTTTCGCCTCTTACCTCTTGGTTTTCTCGAAGAGGTTGTGAACAAGCCAAGGTACTTGCTGAAGATTACACCCATCTCGTTACACATTTCAGTTGGGGGATTAACGCTTATACCTTAAAATACAACATTTGTGTGTTTCGGGAAAAGTTTGTTCTACATTTCAGTTGTAACTCATTACCTGCTGCCTGAAATTGACCTTCAGAGGAGTTTCTGGAGAGAGAAACAGTAGGATCTAATCAAGCAAAATAGACTTAGGCAAAGTGTGTTTCACTCATGGAAACGTATTATGGCACAGCACGTAGGACAAGTGTTTCCTATGCAGCGATTCAAGTACATCAACAAATACACTGATGTTTTCAATAAACGTGAATAATTTAATCACTAAGACGTTACAGATTTTTTGTATGGTGAGAAAATCCACATATAATTTTCCCTAATTGACAAATAAAACCTAACTTATTTACTAAACAGTTTAAATCATTTTTTAAAAATGTACAATGTGCTTTAGTATATTAATTCATACGATAGATGTAATGACTAGGGTTATAAACCAAGGTATAAATCCTGGCACTACCACTTACCTTGGTATTCCTAGGCAAGCCACTTTAACTTCCCCGAGCCTCTTGTTTCCTCATTTTTTTTTCCTAAAGATTTTATTTATTTGACGAAAAGAGAAAGAGCACAAGTGGGAAGAGCGGCAGACTGAGGTAGAGGGAGAATCAGGCTTCCTGATGAGCAAGGAGCCTGATGTGGGGCTTGATCCCAGTACTGTGGGATCATGACCTGAGCGGAAGGCAGACTCAACCCACTGAGCCATCCAGGTGCCCCTGTTTACTAATTTCATAATGAAATAATAAAGCTTCCCAGAATTTTTATTTAATTGACAACTATTCATTATGCTCTGCTCACCACAAGTATAGCTACTGTCTGTCACCATACAATGCTATTACAGTACCATTGATTATATTCCATGCTGTACCTTTCATCTGGGAGACTTACTCATTCCATAACTGGAAGCTTGTACCTCCCACTCCCCTTCACCCATTGTGCCTATCCTCTCAACCTCCCTCCCTCTGGCCACCGTAAGTTTGTTCTCTAAAATTATGGGTCTATTTCTGGTTTTGTTTGTTCCTTTGTTTTTTAGATTCCACATATAAGTGAAATCATATTGTATTTGTCATTCTCTGATTTATTTCACCTAGCATAATATCCTCTAGGTCCATCCATGTTGAAAAGGGCAAGACCTCATTCTTTTTCATGGCTGAGTAATATTCCATTACTGAGTAATATTCTACATATTCTTTATACACTCATCTATTGGTGGACACTTGGGTTGCTTCCATACCTTGGCTATTGTAATAATTGTAAATAATGCTGCAATAAACACAGTAGTTCGTAGGGGCACCTGGGTGGCTCGGTCTGTTAAAAGTCTGCCTTTGGCTCAGGTCATGAGCTCAGGGTCAGGGTCCTGGGATGGAGCCCTGCATCAGGCTCCCTGCTCAGCAGGGAGTCTGTTTGTCGTCCTTCCTCTGCCCCTTCCCCTCCTCATGCACGCGCGCGCTCTCTCTCTCTCTCTCTCTCTCTCTCTCTGTCTCTCAAATAATAAAATCTTAAAAAAAAACATAGAGGTGCATATATCTTTTCAAATTAGTGTTTTTGTTTTCTTTGGGTAATATCAAGTAGAATTACTGGATGGTAGGCATTTCTATTTTTTTATGGTATTTCTATTTTTAATTTTTGAAGAAACTGCATACTCTTTTCTATAGTGGCTGCACCAGTTTATATTCCCACCAACAGTGCATGAGAATTCCTTTTTCTCCACATCCTTGCCAACACTTGTTATTTCTTGTCTTTCTGAAACTAGCCATTCTGAGAGGTGTGAAGTGGTATCTCCTTGTTTTGATTTCTCTAATGATTAGTGATGTTGAGCATGTTTTCATATGTCTGTTGGCCATCTGTGCATTGTCTTTGGAAAAATTCCTGTTCAGGTCCTCTGCCCATTTTTTTTAAAGATTTTATTTATTTATTTTGAGAAAGAATGTGAGCAGAGGGAGGGGCAGAGGGAGAGAGAATCTTAAGCAGACTTCATGTCTAGTGGGGCTCAGTCTCAGGACCCTGAAATCATGACCTGAGCCAAAATCAAGAGTTGGATGCTTAATTGACTGAGCCACCCAGGCAACCCTCCTCTGCCCATTTTTTAATATCAGATTGTTTTTTTGTTACTGAAGTATAATTAACATACAATATTATATTAGTTTCAGGTGTATAACATAATGATTCAATAGTTTCATATATTATTCAGTGCTCACCACCATAAGTATACTCACCATCTATCACCAATGTTATCACAATATTATTGACTATATTTTTCATGCTGTACTTTTTATTTCCATGACTTATCACTGGAAGTTTGTACTTTTTAATCCCCTTTATTTCACTCATCTCCTTATGGTCCTCTGGCAACCATCAGTTTGTTCTTTGTATTTAAGCATCTAGTTTTTTGTTCATTTCTTTTTTAGATTCCACATATAAGTGAAATCATATGGTATTTGTCTGTGTCTGACTTATTTCACTTAGCATAATACCCTCTAGTTCCATCCATGTTGTTGCAAAGGGCAAGATCTCATTCTTTTTTTTTTTTTTTTTAAGATTTTATTTATTTGACAGAGACAGAGGGAACACAAGCAGGGGGAGTGGGAGAGGGAGAAGCAGGTGCCCTGCTGAGCAGGGAGCCCGATGTGGGGCTTGATCCCAGGACCCTGGGATCACGACCTGAGCTGTAGGCAGATGCTTAACGACTGAGCCACCCAGGCGCCCCAAAGATCTCATTCTTTATGGCTGAGTAATATTCCATTGTGTGTATGTATACCACATCTTCATTCATCTATCAGTGGACTCTTGGGTTGCTTCCATATCTTGGTTATTATAAATAATGCTGCAATAAACATAGTACATATATCTTTTTGAATCAGTGTTTTTGCTTTCTTTGGTAAATACCTAGCAGTTGAATTACTGGATCGTATGGTGTTTCTATTTTTAATTTTTGAGGAACCTGCATAGTGTTTTCCACAGTGGCTGCACCAACTTGCATTACCACCAACAGTGCGTGGGTGATTCTTTTTCTCCACATCCTCACCAACACTTGTTTCTTGTCTTTTTGATTCTAATCATTCTGACATGTGTAAAGTGGTATCTCATTGTGGTTTTGATTTGCATTTCCTTGATGATTAGTGATGTTGAGCATCTTTTCATGTGTCTACTGCCATTTATATGCCTTCTTTGGAAAAGCATCTATTCAGTTCCTCTGCCCATTTTTTAGTTGGATTATTTGTGGTTTTGGTGTAGATTCTGTAAGTTCTTCATGTATTTTGCATATTAACATCAGATATATCATATGCCAAAATCTTCTCCCATTCAGTAGGTTGCCTTTTCATTTTGTTATGGTTTCCTTCACTGTGCAAAAGCTTTTTTTTGATGTAGGCCTAATAGTTTATTTTTTCTTTTATTTCCCTTCCTTGAGGAGGCATATCTAGGAAAATGTTGCTAAGGCTGATGTCAGAGAGATTGCTGCCTATGTTTTCTTCAGGTCTCATATTTAGGTCTTTAATCCATTTTGAGTTTATTTTTGTGTATGGGTTGAGACAGTCCAGTTTCTTTTCCCTTTTTTTTTGGTCACTGTCCCATTTTCCCAACACCATTTGTTGAAGAGACTATCTTTTCCCCCATTGTATATTCTTGCCTCCTTTGTTGTAGATTAAGTGACCATATAATCATTGTTTTATTTCTGGGCTCTCTGTTCTGTTTCAATGATCTATGTGTCTCTTTTTGTGCCAGTACCGTATTATTTTGATTACTACAGCTTTGCAATATATCTGGAAATCTGGGGTTGTGATCCCTCCAGCTTTATTCTTTTCTCTCAAAATTGCTTTGGCGATTTCAGATCTTTTGTGCTTCCGTACAGATTTTGTATTATTTCTTCTAGTTTTATAAAAAATGCTGTTGATGTTTTGATAAGGAATACATTGAATTTGTAGATTGCTTTGGGTGGGTAGTATGGACATTTGAATAATATTAAATCTTCCATGAGCATGCAGTATCTTTCCCTTTGTGTTATCTTTAATGTCTTTCATCAGTGTTTTATGGTTTACAGAGTATGGGTTTTTCACCTACTCATTAAGCTTATTTCTAGGTATTTTATTCTTTTTGGTGCAATTGTGAATGGAACTGTTCTCTTAATTTCTCTTTCTGGTACTTCATTATTAGTGTATAGAAACACAACAGATTTCTGTTTATTAATTCTGTATCCTGCACTTTTACTGAATTCATTTATCAGTTCTAGTGGTTTTTTAGAGGAGTCTTTAAGGTTTTCTATAGATAATATATATTATGTCATCTATACATAGGGACAGTTTAAGTTCTTCCTTACCAGTTTGGATGCATTTTATTTCTTTTTCTTGTCTGATTGCTGCAGCCTGGACTTCCAATGCTATGTTGAATAAAAGCAGTGAAAGTGGGCATCCTTGTCTTGTTATTGAGCTTAGAGGAAAAGCTCTGTTTTTCACCATTGAGTATGATGTTAGCTGTGACTTTTTCATGTGTGGCCTTATTATGTTGATGTTCTCTAAACCTATCATGTTGAGAGTTTTTATCATGAATGGATGTTGTACTTTCTCAAATGCTTTTTCTGCATCTATCGAAATGATCATATGGTTTTTATACTTTCTCATTAGTGTGACTTACTATGTTGATTGATTTGTGAATATTGCACCCCCCCTTGTATCCCTAGAATAAATCCTACTTGATTGTGGTAAATGATTTTTTTAAATTTTGAAATTCATTTGTTAACATCTTGTAGAAGATGTGGTTTTCTCTTTTTTTGTATTGTCTTTGTCTGGTTTTAGTATCAGGGTAATGCTGGCCTGGTAGAATGAATTTGGAAGTTTTCCTTCCTCTTCTGTTTTTTTGGAAAAGTTTGAGAAGAGTGGGTAATAACTCTTCAAATGTTTGGTGAATTCACCTGTGAATCTACCTGGTGCCCTGACTTTTGTTTGTTAGGACCTTTTTGATTACTGATTGAATTTTGTTACTAGTAATCAGTCTGTTCAGATTTTTTCTTTCTTTTTGATCCAGTCTTGGTGTATTGTATTGTTTCTATGAATTTATTTCTTTTAGGTTGTCCAATTTGTTGGCATATAATTTCTCATAGTAGTCTTTTATAATCCTTTGTATTACTGTGATGAAGTTTATTCTCTTTCATTTCTGATATTATTAAATTCTCTCCCTTTTTTCTTGATGAATCTGGTTAACAGTTTATTAATTTTGTTTATCTTTTCAAAGACCCGCTCTTAGTTTCATTGATTTTTTAAAATAAAAATAAAAGATGTTTTGTCCCAGGATATAATTTTTAAATTTTGATACCATTAGAACAATTAGTGATCTCTGGTATGATTTCATAAAGCTGTAATCAGTACCAAATTACAGAAATTTTACACTTTTTTTTTTTTTACTTATTAATTTAATATAAATCAAGATGGAGCAATGCTTTGGAATCTTGGAGAGGCTTCTGTTCTGGTATCGCTATCTTTTTGTATCCTTAAGGATTGTCCAACTTTGATAATTCTTTTTTACAGTAATTTAGCTCCCTTATTTTTTAATTTTTATTATATATTTATATAATTTAAATTTTACTGTGTTTTCTTGTAAACTGTTCTAAATCCTCAGAGGAAAAATACAGGAAACAATACACAAACATAGCTTAAAATACTTAAAGACTGGCATTTTCATCTGGAATAATTGTTCACATTTATTATTGAGGTATCCAAGCCTAGGAAGAAATACATGTGGTAAAATGGTTTTCATCATTCTATAGCCATTTGTACAAATTTAGTCTTTCCACTTCCAGAAGCATAGTTCTACTTTATGTAAAATACCATATATATTTAACTTTAATTTTCAAACTTGAGAAAATGAATTGTTTAGAATAGTAAAATATGCCCTGATCACAAGTCTATCATAATATAACTTAGCACTCTATTTAGTTTTATGGGATATATGTTCATTTTATTGCATTCCCAGTCCTACTTACTAGTAATATGATGTCTTTTCAAATTACTATAATGAGTGTATACATTCCTAAGTTTTCATTTTTGGTCTATTTTAAAGCCTTCTGTGTTTTTCTTTTCACTTTCGAATGAATCAGAAACCAGAAATGAGTGGAATGCTATCCTAAGTCAAAAATCTGTTACAACCTTTATAAATACTACTTAAATGAAGAAAGATAAAAGAAACCCACAGAATTCCAACTGATAATTACCCCATTCAGACACTGGTGAATATGTCCTTCAATCCAAGCCGACCTTCCTCCTCAGAGGTAAGAAAATCTTTTAAACTAAAATATAAGAAAGACTTGCTTAACATTGCTTTTGAAGAGTTCTGAGAAAGAAAAAATATGGATTATATAAAGTTTTAGGTATTAACTCCACTGTGTATCTCATTGTCTGATTATAGTTATTTTATTACAGTTCTTTTATCTCTAGCTGATTGTACTGGAGCCCCCAGTGCATTGATCCTATCACTTATTTTTTTTTTAATTCTTCACCTTGTGATGCCCTCCATAGCTTAAATACCACAGAGCAGTCTTGATTACTCTCTTGCTTATACTTTTGACTCTTTGCCTCTCTCTCATTTCATCATACTGCTTGGCAAAACAAAAACCCTGGTTTATTGAATTCTTCACCTATGCTATACCCATGCCAGCAATGGAACATGACTGGAAAAAAAGTATACCAACATGAAGACTGTTCTCACTTTAAAGTCATGACCATGAATCTAAACTAGAACCTTTTGCTGGTAGGCAAACAGACTATCTTCTGCTCACTCACTTTTCTACTGTTCTAGACAACTATTTCATACCCTCAGTACCTTCTCCATTTTCTCTTTAAACCAACTGTAATCACTTTCTACTACTGCACCAAAATTGCTCTTGTTAAATTCACTTCTGCATCACTAAATATGTTGTTTAATTCTTACCCCACATATTCTGATCTATCTGTGCAAAACAATTGACACTATTGATCACTCTTCTTTGACATAATTCCTTCACTTTTAGCATACACATATCTTGGTTTTCCTTCTACTTGTTGTTCATTTTCAGTCTTCTTTGCTGGTTTTTCTTCTTTTTGACCTCTTAATATTGGAGAATTTCAGGAGCCAGCTCTTTGTTCTCTTCTGTAAATGCACTTACTCTTTGATGATCTCATTCAGTATAATAGCTTTAAATACCAACTTTATGCTAAGGATCCCAAATTTATATCCCCAATCTAGTCCTCTTTCCCAAACTGCAGATCTGTATTTTCAACTGCCTACTTGACATCTCCACCTGGATGGCCAGTAAACATCTTAAAATTAGCATGTCTCAAACTGAATTATGAATCTTTTCTCCCCTCCCCTAAACATGTTCTATTTGACTTTCTCCATCTCAGGTGATGGCAAATCCATCCTTTGACTATCTAAGGCCAAATGCCCTGGAGTTGTACTTCTTTCTTAAGCTTCACTTCCAATGTACTGACTTTAGCTTCAAATTATATAAAAAATCTGACCACTTCCCATCATCTCTACTGCTAGTACCTTGGAGTGAGCCACCATCATCTCACATTTTAATTATTCTGATAGCTTCATAACAGTTTCCATTTTCCTATCCCTTACAACCTAATCTATTATCCCTTTAATAGTTACTAAACATAGCAAAATTTGCAAGTATAACATTATATGTGTCCTAATGTGAAGCAATATGAAATACAGGGCACCATTTATAAAGTTTTATGCCCCTAGGTGACTAATTTGCATCAGTTGAAGGCTGTACAGAGAGATAGAGGACTTCATTTCAAAAATGCTTATGAAATGAGGTTGGCTGGGAAGATGGCAGAATAGGAGGACCCTAAGCTCACCTCATTCCATGGATACAACTAGATAACATTCATATCAGTGTAAATAACCCAGAAAATGACATGAAAAAGACTGGCAGAACAGACTCTTCAACTAAAGGCAGGGAGGAAGCCACACCAAAGGAGTTAGGAAGGGCAAAGACATGGTCTGAGAACAAAATGGACCATGGCCATCTTCACTGGGCAGAGAACCAGTGGTATGGAGAGGGGCGGAAAATAGATTTTCACACCAGGGAGCCCATGAACGGGGAGGATGAATCCCTGTAATATTTGCCTTTGTAAATGAGAGGGGCTGAATTTCTTGAGTTCTAACAACCAGTGCGACTTAAAGCCTGGAATTTTAAAAATCAGCAGGCTCTGCTCTGGGAGAGGACAGAGGGCAGTAGGAAGTGGAGGCCCTGCCCATACAGAGCTCACGAAACAGCCCATGCAGATACAAGATAGAACCAGCAGTTAGAAAAACGCTGGGGGAAGGAAAGTGGTTTGCTCATCTCAGAGCATACCTCAGAGACACAGGGATCACCAGGAGACCCCTCCAGGAACAAAGGAACTATTTCCCTCCCCCACCCCCCAAAATAAACAGTGGCCACTTACAGGAACCAGTTGTTACCTAACTTGCTTACACCAAGCCCTGCGCCCTCATGCTTTGGCAGATCAGCCCTTCCCAGTCCCGCTTGTCTCAGACCTGGTGCTGCAGGTTCTTCCCCCAGAAGACTGGTGCAAACCCTGCCAGCACCAAATCTGCTCACTCATGCATTTCTGATTGTAGCAGGAGCAGGTCTTATTTCATAAGCAGATAACCACACACCTTGTTAAAATGCACCCCATTCCTGCTGGGGACAAAATGATACTCATAATAGGCAAAGAGAGCCTCTGCAGACGACTAAAGGAAAAAGGGGCCAAGACTCAACAGCAGAGCACATGCAACACACATAGGAGACACTCCCTGAAGCTCCAGGCCCTGGGGAATGGGATACTGCACTGCAGGGCACTATAGGACCTCTTCTTCATAAGACTATTATTGTTAAGAGCAAGAGAAATAGCTGACTTTCCTAACACAGAGAAACAGACATAGAAAGTCAAACAAAATGAGACAGAAATCTCTCCCAAATGAAAGAACAGGACCAAACCACTGCAAGATACCACAGTGAAACATATAAGTAATATGCCTGATAGAGAATTTAAAGTAATGATCATAAACATACTCCTGGACTTGGAAAAGAGTGGAGGACATCAGTGAGACCCTTAAGAAAGAGATTAAATAAAAGATCAGAGATGAAGAACACAGTAAGTGAAATTGAAAATACATTTAATGGAATAAATGCCAGGCTAGATAAAGCAGAGGAACAAATTAATGACCTGGAAGACAAGTAATGGAAAATAACCAAGCTGAGCAAAGGAGAGGAAGGAAATTATGCATATTGAGAATAGTCTTCGGGAACTCAGTGACTCCATCGAGCATAACAACATTTGCATTATAGGGATCTCAGAAGAAAAGAAATCAAAAATTACATGGAAACAAAATGAAAACACAATGGCCCAAAATCTTTGGGCTGCAGCAGAAGTGGTCCCTAAGAGGGAAATTTATAGCTTATAGCAATACAGGCCTACCTCAAGAAGCAAGAAAAGTCTCAGAGAACCTAACTTTACACCTAAAGAGCTAGAAAAAGAGAAACAAAACCCAAACCCAGCAAAAGGAAGGAAATAATAAAGATTAGAATAGATATAAATGATAACTTAAAAAAAAAACCAATAGAACAGATCAGTGAAACCAGGAGCTGTTTCTTTGAAAAGATCAACAAAATTGATAAACCTCTAGCAAGATTCATTAAAAAAAAAAAAAAAATCACTAATGCAAAAGGAGAAATAACACCAGAGAAATACAAACAATTGTAACAGAATATTTTGAAAACCTATATGCCAACGAACTGGACAACTTCTATGAGTAAATTCCTAGAAACATATAACCTACCAAAACTAAAGCAGAAAGAAATAGAAAATTTGACCAGACCAATTACCAGCAATGAAATTGAATCAGTAATCAAAAACTTCCCAAAAAACAAAAGTGCAGGACTAGATGGCTTTACAAGGAAATTCTACCAAACATTTAAAGAGTTAATACCTATTCTTTTTAAACTACTCCAAAAAATACAAGAGGAAAGAAGACTTCTAAATCCAATTTATGAAGCCAGTATCAACCTGATACCAAAACTAGATAAAGACACCGTAAAAAGAACTACAGGCCAGTATCTCTCATGAATATAGATACAAAAATCCTCAACAAGATATTAGCACACCAAATCCAACAATACGTTTAAAAAAAATCATACACCACAATCAAGTGGGATTTATTCCTGGTATGCACGGGTAATTCAATATTCATAAAACCATAAACATGATATGTAATATCAATAAGAGAAAGGATAAAAACCATATCATTTCAATAGATGCAGAAAAAGCATTTGACAAAGTACAACATCCATTCATGATTAAAAACTCTGCAAGGTAAATCTAGAGGGAACGTACTTCAACATAATAAAGGCCTTATATGAATAACTCACAACCAACATCATACTCAGTGGTGAAAACCTGACAGCTTTTCTCCCAGGGTCAGGAATAAGATAAGGATGTCCACTCTTACCACTTTTATTCATCACAGTACCAGAAGTCCTAGCCATAGCAATTAGACAATGTAAATAAAAAGCATCCAAATTGGTAGAAGGAAGGAAGAAGTAAAATTTTCACTATTTGTGGATATGACATACTATATATAGAAAACCCTAAAGACTCCACCAAAAAACTAAAACTCATAAATGAATTCAGTAAAGTCACAGGATACAAAATCAATGTATAGAAATCTGTTGCATTCCTATACACCAATGATAAAGCAGCAGAGGGCGCCTGGGTGGTTCAGTTGGTTGGGCGACTGCCTTCGGCTCAGGTCATGATCCTGGAGTCCCGGGATCGAGTCCCACGTCAGGCTCCCTGCTCAGCAGGGAGTCTGCTTCTCCCTCTGACCCTCTTCCCTCTCGTGCTCTCTATCTCTCATTCTCTCTCTCTCAAATAAATAAATAAAATCTTTAAAAAAAAAAAAAAGCAGAAAGTGCAGTTAAGAAAATAATCCCATCTACAATTGCACCAAAAACAATAAAATATCTAGAAATAACCTTAACCAAAGAGGTGAAAGACCTGTACTCTGAAAACCATAAAACACTGATGAAAGAAATTCAAGACCGTGCAAAGCCATTCCATACTCATGGGTTAGAAGAGCAAATATTGTTAAAATGTTTATAATACCCAAAGCAATCTACGGATTTAATGCAATCCCCATCAAAATACCAATAGCATTTTTCACAGAACTAGAACAAACAATCCTAAAATTTGTATGGAACCACAAAAGACCTCGAATAGCCAAAGCAATCTTGAA